AAGGAGAAGCTATTCTTTTTTTTCACTGTGCACATCATGCTACAGCAGCAACTTCCTCCTGTTGACTACAGTGAACTGTGGTTTTGATGCTGTTCTGTTCTCACTATTTGTGGTCTGTTTTACCTTGTGCTGAAATGTGTGAACCTTAACAGAAGAGAGCAGCTTTGTGGTCATTTGGTTCTCTGTTTCAGATAAATACCCTTCTGTTATATTTGCTCTTTCAGCTCTAAGCTTTCACAGCAATGTTAGGAAGGAGAAAACACCTGCTGCCTTTTATAGAGTCTATTATAAAACGTATTCTACATACTAAATAACAAAAAATACTATATTTCTACACAGAAAATAATGATATAGTTTCATCTTTATGACGTGTTGCAGTACTAGTAGTATAGCAGCAAATCTACTGGTAGTAGTAGCAGTAAATATACTAACAGTGCTAGTATCAGCTGTAGTACCTGCAGTAATGTAATATGTGTCTGTTTTGTTTTCCAGAGAGTGATCCAGCTGCAGTCTCCTCAGCACTGAGAGGACCAGATGACATCACTTACGGACAAATAGCCATAAGACGAGAGGTACAGCTGCTCTTTACTTATTAACTTTGGACAGAGTCAGGCTAGTTGGTTCACCCTGCTGTTTGTGTGTGTGTGTACACACATGGTGGTTTTAGTCCATTGGCTCCTGTAGCGCCTCCCAGAGGGCAGGAGGGCAAACAGTCTCTTTGTTGGGTGGCAGAAGGTTCTAATGTTTATTAGAAACGACGCTTCCTGTAAATGTTCTCAATAGCAGTAAGTGAGGCTCCAGCAATGCTCTGGGCGGTTTTCACCACAGCCTACTATGCCTTCTTGTCCGAGACAGAGCAGTTCCAGTACCAGACTGTAAGTTTAGGGTGAGGGTGGAAGAGCAGTGGTGGTCTAATCAAATATGTTGGAGCCTGTTGGTGCAGATAGAAGCTTTGATGCCCAGATATTTGACATTAGAGGGGAGGACAGTGTTAAATGCTGAACTATGTGTCATTATTGTCCAGGTGTGAGAGGGTGAGAGTGCAGTGCTATGGAGGCTGCATCTTCTGTGCCCCCGTTCTTGCAGTAGGTAAATTGGTGACCCCAAAGTTACTTTGTAATGACGGATTAAAGCAGGTCGGCACAACAGCATGAGTTATATAAGTCCATCAGGACCCCCGCCAGCTCCCCAGCACATGCTCTGAGCACACATCCAGGGATGCCATCAGGGCCTGAAGCTTTGCGTGTTTAACACTGCTCTGACGTCAGTAGGGAGGAGTCGGGGTTGGTGGTCAGCAGTCAGCACTGCCTTGATTGAAGGTTGTCCTTCTCAAAATGAGTGTAGAAGTTGAGTTGTTAACCTGGTTGAGGAAGGAGATATCAGAGTAAGGTGGGGGAGGGGCGGTTGGGCTTGTGGTCACTGGTGTGAGTTTCTTTGTCTCCAACAGTTTCTCATGTTGTTTGAACTGTTTGTGTTTGTGTGTTCAGAGTGTCCAGTAGATCCAGAGGTCGTCTACTCTTCACTGAGGTAGACCTTCACACCTTCACACCAGTCCAACCACTGATGTCCAGCTGGCCTGGAACTGGTCCCCAGAGCCCCTCACACCTCAGCACATCCATTTATTATGTTTCACTGTTAGACTGTAGACTCAGGCAGCTACAAAGTAAAACATCTTTATTTTTATTTTTCCTTTATTTAACCAGGAAGTCCCATTGAGATTCAGAATCTCTTTTACAAGAGACACCTTGTCAAGGTAGCAGCCAAATCACAACAAATGCATACACTTATACACACTTATACACAAACAGTAACAAAACAGTGTCCCAAAAAGACATATATATCCATTGGAAAGCGACATATATGACTGTTCCCCATCATGACATCTGAGAGTGTTGGCAAGTCCAGCGACAGGCGTACTGGACTTTCAGTAAGTCATTTGACCCTAAGTCATGTGACGTTTAACACGTAGTAAACGTTGTGAAACGGTCAAGTTTAGGCTACAGAACCACTTGGTTAGGATTAGGAGAAGATCTCAGTTTGGGTTAAAATAAGTAATAAGTCACGTGACTGAAGTCAAAAAGCTATTTAACTTTCTCTCACACGGGACTCGAACTTTGGTTTCCAGAGTAAGGGTCCGTAATTTGCTTCACTCGTCCATCCACCCCTCATCAAGACTTTGTCGACCTTTAAATTACCTGACTTGTTCTGCCACTAGAGGTAACGGCCAAACTAGAACGTAAATATGTGTTGTGAGATAAATAATAAGAGACATAGATGAACGTTTCTCTGGTGAGGGCGGGCTGGAGAGAGACAGACAGGTCAGATTTAGTGCAACAAAAATAAAATTGTTATTTATTGTTTTGTGGGTGATGTAATAACTTTACTGCTATTTATATTGGATTAATTCTTTTTGTTTCTTGTTGAACAGCAACTTGGTTTTTTTTCTGTTGGATCAATAAACTTTGTCTCGTTCTTGTTTTTCCCCTGTGGTTCTGTGGGTTTCACAAAGCTGTCGGATGGAAAATTTGACAAGTAAGTTTGACTGTGGCTCACTGATACACACACCCCTCTTCAGTGCAGATCACTAAAAATAAACAAGACCGCAACCACAGACTCTAAACAGCATGAATGTCTTTAAACGTAAGTATAATATAAGATCTTATTTATGGTAAATGCACTTTTTTACGTCCTTTCATGGACATGTTGGGCCGAATTCTGCCTGCCTGCCGAGAATTGCATCAGAGAGAAAACTAGAATAAGTTTTCTCCATATTTATAATATTTCTCCATCAAATACGATCCAGTTTCACCAAAATCAGTGAAAAAGGTTGTTTTTGTACAGTAATCAGTGGGGCCGGCCCCCAGAAACACTGTGCTTCAGCAGCATTATATTGAGAAATCTTTTCATTGGATGCTAAATGAATACAGCAAGTGCATGATGAGTCATCATTTTAAAATGGTTTCCAAGTAACAAACTTTTTTTGTTTCAATTTAAACATGGATTTTGGGAACGTGAGATTTGTGTTTCTCTAAAAATACACTGAGCAGACAACGCGTCATTGATACTTCTCATCCTCATTTGCCTATTTGGCTTTGAAATAATCCAAAAGTAGCTAAAAGTAATCAGATTACATTACTTTTATTTTGTGGTCCCTCCACTCTGCCCGCTGTTCTATTCACACACAATGAAAAGTCGTGATAAAGGCAGATTTTTCTCTCAAATAGAATATTTTCAGTAATTTACTACAGCCTTGTGAAATGCTCTCATTGCAGACATTACACAAGGCTGTTGGATTGATTTCGTTTTCCAATTTAAAATATTTCCACATTGCAGACATTGTAGCCACGTCCTGCCACAAACGGCTCTCCGTTAAATGACACTTGTGTGACAGCTAAAGCATTATAGGTATCAGGCTTAGGTTCATGCTCAATAAAGCCTCGATCCTGATCGTTGATATCGGATCGGAACATCCCTAGTAAAAAGGCACGAGACAGTGCCCTCCCTAGACAGAGAAAAAGGGGGGGGAAAAAAAGCTCAACATGGTAATCAGAGCAGAAATCCCAGATGGACTTACTAATAAACTCAACCATAAAAACATTATAATCATTTGAATTCATAAGGACCATTACTAATGGCTTATAATTGATAAATATGTTTGTTATTAAGCAAAACAATAACCAATATCCACTTCTCCGCACACCTTTTTAAAATGTTTATAAACACATCGCTGCTTACTGGGTAACACCTCCGACACCTAACACCACCTAACGAGAGAAAACATACCTCACCTTTTGTTTCAAGGAAACATGTTCAACCCTGAAACTACAGCAAACCGGAGCAAAGCTTTTTGAGTTTTAACTTGGCCCAGACGTGTCATCAAGGCAAAATGACAAATATGACCAAGGTCATAACATGAGTAAATACTGAATCCTTTACTTGATTTACTTATTTGGTTTTTCTTTGTTGTTGTTTATTGGCCCAAAAATGTCAAGAAGTTATAAAAATGTATATTTTATATTAAATAAATTTCAACACAACCTGAGAATTAATATATAAACATAAATATCATGATGCTGGCATTTCTGATGCTATTACTAAGAGTCACCAAAGTCTTAAAGCTCAAATGATCAAAACTCATGAATATTAAACAAAAAGCAATCAATAAAACAAAAGTAAAAACTTTAAAGCAACAATTAAAAACTGGCCACCACAGTGAAAACGAACTCTTCTGACTGTAAGTTGATTTTCTTTTTACTTTACAGAGAAACTTTTTGTCATTATATTTAAAAACATCCAGCTGAACAAACAACAGCAGAAGAAAGTTTAGATTAGAAATGATGCTTGGTGGTGACATCAGCAATGACATCATCATTCGGTTGGTCCAATCCCTCGCCATCTTCTCTGAGTGGAGACGTCGTCGTGGAAACAGGAGGGTTCCTTCCAGCAGAGTTCAGCTTTCATTTAATTAACTACCTGATAAATTAACCTGAAAAAAAAGATTTTTGCTTTTAAATGAGGCATGTTGTCATCGGGACATCGATTGATTCAGTAAGTGATCGATCATTGGAGTATGGGTATAGCCCACCACTTAGTTCAGACTGAAACATCTCAGCAGCTGTTGGATGGATTGTGAAATGTAAACATGTGGGATCCATTAAATATAAATCATTCTGGTTGTTGGAGAAATGCTGCAGCAGCTTCCTGTTTGTTCTTGTCTGTCAGCAGTCAGTGCAGCAGCTGAGCCAATCATTGACTGATGATATGAACATTTAGCCAATCAGGTGATGAGACGCACTTTGCAAAGCACTCTGGGTGAAAGCTCCATATAAACATGCAGTCAGGAAGCCAGCAGGGGGCAGCGCAGGAGCTTCTCTTTGTTCACAGGAGGGAAAAAAATCCTGTGGATGAAAGAAGAGCTCCATCATCACTGCTGAGAGCACAAAGTGAGAGTTACACCAGGAAACATCCAGAGAGGAAAACTGAACTGTGGCAGCAATATTTCAGAGACACCAAGTGAGTGTCCTGCAGAGTGTGACAAACTGTTCTACTGCATCTGTACGTAAACTAGAAACTTTAGATCAGTTCCAGCAGGTTATTTTATTAAAAACATCTCACAGACACATTCAGGTTCTTCTGGGAATAAAAGATGCCTTGGTTGTGCTGTTTGGTAGATGTATGATTTGTCCAATAGGACTGGTCATTCTAGCTTTCAGTGTCAGTTACAGCAAATCAATAATTTTACAAATGCACCCATATTAATACATTGTACATTTTCAACCAACAGTGAGCCTTTGATTTTCCCTCAACCTTTAATGCAGCTTAATGCTTGAGTGTCCTCATATGTCCTTCTAGTTTTGCAGTACTGCTGCAATAATGAAACCTGTCAGTGAAGTGTTTTATCACCAACACACAACTGAGCCATGTTTTAGCCATCTGTTTTGAAATAACAGGTTTGTTACAATAAAGATTCATTTCAGATATTTTCATTTCATTTAGCTGATGCTTTTATCCAAAGTCACTTACAATTGCTTTACGTGTCAGAGGTCACACGCCTCTGGAGCAACGAGGGGTTAAGTGTCTTGCTCAGGGACCAATTGGTGGATGGGTCACAGTCAGGGTTGGGAGGGTTACTTTAAAAATGTAATCCTGTACAATTACTAATTACTTGTTAAATGTAAACAGTGATGTAATCCAAGTACTTTTAGTTACTTTTGGATTACTTCAATGCCAAATACGCAAATATAAACATGAGAGTATCAAAGATGTTTTGTCTGCTTGATGTATTTTTAGAGAAACATACAATTATAAAATATCCCATTCCCATGAAATCAAAATGGATATTTAAATGTTTTATATGATTTACCTTGCACTGGGCCTGTACTTCATCTGGCCCATCAATGGCAAAAATGTTGTTTTGTAGGTGCTCTTGAAGATATTTTAGATTGTGTCATTTCCTGGAAAACGATTTTAAATGTTGATAAATCATCCTGCACTGGGGAGCCTGTATTAATTTGGGTCCAATGAAAAGCTTTCTTAATTTTTATGACGCTGCTGGAAAATTTTTTTTCTGGGACAGGCACCGCTGATTACTGCACAAAAGCACACACTGATTTTGCTGAAACTGGATCATATTTGATGGAAAATATTTCCTGGTTTTCCTGTTTGTAATCACAATTTTTACAAAACGTACCTGTAATCTGATTATGTCGGTTGTTTTCTGTACTGTAACGGAATACAGTTACTTTATACATGTAATCCGTTACTCCTACATTCTCATGAGGAGTTTAGCACCCCTAAAGGTTTGCAGGTTTCTCCAAGACACAACTGAAATGGGTTCCCAAATATAACCTTCTGTGGCGTTAATATACAGAGGCAGTCCCTCCAAGTAAAGTTTGTGTGATAGAGAGAGAGCTCCACAGAATACATGAACACCACTGGTAAAATGTGTTTCAGATATCCAACAGAAAAGCATTACTGGCGCAAGAACAAAAAAATAAGAAGACATCTGACAACCAAACAGCAGGGGTGGAAAAACTACTAGAATATTCAAGATGAGATAGAAATGTTTGATCTCACACTGGGGAATATCACTTTTTACTGCAGCTCCAGATACAACAGAACTGATAAGAAAATACACTTTAAATAATAGTAGAATAGAAATATAACAGAATTTGAAAAGTAAGAATAAGAGTTATATATACTCTGTTAACGTTATACATATAAACCCAAATATTCCAACTCATTCTACCTTTATATTAAAGACCAGCTTTATGATGCAAAACAAAACTTAATAGAGGTCCTTGAGGTTCTTGAGAGTCGGTGTGGATGATCCCTGTGAAAGAGTAACCGCCCAAACAGGATGCTCTAAGTCAATAAAATGCGCCCGCAACGAGGCGAGAGAAACAATATAATTTAATTTGTCAGCACTACATGTGGCATTCTTTGGTCGGGGGATTTTGACAAGGTTATTGATTTGTGTTTGTTTCATTAGTTTTTTGTTTTGTACCAATTAAATTTTAGAAGAAATAAAACACATTGTTATTGTTATTATACTTCTTCTTTATATATATTTATATATACTTTTTAAATGTATTTAAGTGTTTTCTTGCTTTTCTGGTGTATTAGTTTTTATGTGTTTTATTGCCTTTGCACTTGTTAAAGTACTTTGTAACTTATTTTTGAAAATTATTAGTATTTTTGTTATTTTTATTGTGAAAATCTTATTTAAATTGAATAGTGAGTGTCAGACAGAGTTTACTTCCTGCTGCCAGTACGTGGCGCTACAACTATAAATGTAGATTGGTGTGTAGATGTGTTTGGGGCGGGACCATTATCAAGCAAGTTATGACTACTTCCTGTTTCATGGCAAAGCGTGGTACTTTGCCATTGAAGGAAAACTCACAACCTTTACAACAAGACATCACCAATGTGTTAAGGGTCTGAGCTGGTTTTGAAGTAGATATGGCCAACTT